GAAGAGAATATATACATAGATGTTCTTACTGTTATACGATAGTTCCATATTCTTTCTTCAGACGGATTGAACATTATTGTTCTTGATTTCTTTCGAATCCAGTTAGTATTTTCAGATGCGAATTTGACGGTTTCTCTTAGATGATACTTTTATGTGCACATAACGAGGAATGGGTTGAATGACTTATTAATTCAACTACAGTCTGATCAAATATACAGTATATGTAAGAAGTATTCGAACACTGTAAGAAGCTTTTCTTGTGAGCTCACTATCTCTTAAAAGAAAAGAGATAAGAAAATTATTCTATTATCGTTGGATAATGCGAAGTCTGCTCTATACTTCTACGTACTAGAAAAAATATTAACGACCTTAGATGAGTCCATACTCGACATATTGGCTGCAAATCTATATATAAATCTCTAGTTCTATCTTTGGATTATTTTGTCTACAAAATGAGACGTTTCGGGCTGTATACATTTCTTTGTTTAAAAAGGAAAAAGAAAATACTGATGTCTTCGCATTACTGTGCCTTCTACTTTGTCCGGCTGTCCACTATATGTTCCCATCGTAAGTTAAATATCAAAGTGTATTCTATTCAGTAGATGGTTTCCTTGTCGGGTGGGGATGTTTTTGTAAAAGCCACTAAATATATAGTATTTGACTATGTCAGCTCACGAGGGACACTCATCTTAGTGTATCTTATAATTTTCATCTTAAATAGGGGTGGCAGTATTACTGTTACTCATGTATTACATTACCGAGGAAAGTAATACTGAAAAGTATTCCTGTTACTGGTAACAGTAATATTCATAAAATTAGTATTACTTTTTAGTAAAGTAATACAAGGAAAAAAAACATCCAATAGGGAACGCCACAATCAACACAAAACATCATATCACTAGATGTCGACGGTTAATGGACACTAGCGACATCTGGTGATGTGGTGGTTTCGTGTTGCTTGTGGGGCCCCATATTGAACTTTTTTTCTTGTATTACTTTACTCAAAAGTAATACTACTTTTATGAATATTACTGTTCCTAGGAACAGTAATGTTACCGGTAATAGCAATACTGTTCAGTATTACTATTATTAATAATAGGAATACATGAAAGATTACTGTTATTTGTAACAGTAATATTTACAATATTTATATTACTGATAACAGTAATAATAATGTGTCACCCCTTTTCGCGAAGCTATTGGCCAAAGTTAATCGATTTTCTCACAGATATCAAGCCCGAAGGGAAACCAGAGATCTGAAACACTATAAAATCACATACTGTTTCATTCTAGCTACATTTTGTATCCGTGCGGATCCACTTGAATTCGCATCGGCACCGTCCTTTCTTTCTTGCTTCTTCCGCAATCTAATCGTATATGTTTCGTATGTCTGGATGTATATTTTTGTGTAAAACCGGCAGGATCCTATGCTTTTATTAGTCGGGCATTATGCATACAACAACAACATCCTAGAAAAGTGGAGAACATAGTTTTACGTGGAGTGAACGACGGTGAAGAAGAAAACAGCAACTGTGTAATTGCTGCTATTTTGAAGAAAAGTCTGTCGAAGGTGAAATTCTAAAGTCAGTAATTTGTTCGTTTAGAAGCAGATACATATTGTTCACACAAGTATCAAAGCAGAAAACAGGCGACTGGGATATAAAAGGGCATTTATTTTTCAATTCTCTCCAAGAAGAGAAACGGAAAGCTTTTCTACTCAATGTGTCACATGTGTGATGTACAGACAAACAAATAAAATTGTTTTTTTCTAAATTGAGTAGTTCGCAAGAAACTATTACTTTGTGTCACCAAATAGAAAAACGCGTTTTGAAAAGATAGATAAAACTTGACTGCTCTGAAAGTTAAAGCCATCTATAAAGAAATTTGCTACAGCGTTCAACAAACTTCGTCTCATATCATCGTCGTTGAGAACTTAGTGGTAAGCAAAATAATGGCTTATTTCATGTTAACTGATCGCGCTCAAAACATGGTTGAAACCGAAGAAGCCGTTGTTTTCTGCTTTGACGTTTGTGAGAGTAATATGTATCCACCTCTGAAGACGAAAGAAATCTGAAAAAATATTTACCGATTTTAAAACTTCACCCTCGACAATTTCTCTTTAAATATTAAGAAGTTACTTTTTTCTTCTTTGGCGTCGCTCACTCCACGTAAAGTTATGTTCCCCACATTTCTAGGATGTTGTTATTGTCTGTGTAATGCGCAACTAATCAAAGTAAATTTATGTGTTATTGCAAATAGGTTCCATAAATGACTAGATATTTGATCTGGTCATGTGCGACACACGGACAAACAAATAAAATATGCAAGAAAAAGCTTATTTACTCTAGTAGTAAGAAGATCGTCAACGTTAGTTACTGAGCAACTTCAACACAATAAGTTGGAACCTGTATGTTTGGCATTCATAATCATGTTTGATTAATAAATAACGTGAATTGGATCGATTCACTAAATCGAATGAATTTACTGTCGGAATTATTATTCATTCTGTTGTAACTCGATCTTGTTACTACAGAACTGATGGCTATTTTTTACGATGAGAACGTCCATATTTTCCACCTTAGTTTAAAGAAGCAGGTGCTAAAGCTTTTCAGAAAAGTTTATCAGAGTGAGTACGTGTTTCGAAGCCAAGTATGGAATAGAAGTCAAGTCTATCAAGTCAGCATGAGTTCACGAGTTATGTGACTCTCAAAAGTTTGGAAGCGTCATAGCGTTATCTACTCGATTTGTGTAATTCATCGAGTTTCTGTAATTTGATTTGGTTTTATCTGTAATACAGACTTTCGAAATGAACGTAAGATTACCAAATCTCTCGGTCTTCTAACCCTTAATAACGTAACCTAAGCGAAGGCAACGCTTGGCCTCGTTCGTGGAAAAGCGGCTATCAGATATATTTAGAACTCATTGTTGTCGCTGGTACGAAGTGTGCTATTAAACATAAATATACGAAGTGAAAGTAATCCTAATATCTTGTTTTTTAAAATGCCAAATATATCATATATATCACCCAATCATAAGGAAGAAAAGTAGAAATTTTTTTAAGCTTGAGAGAGAAAGCAACGTAACGCTCGCTCATACTCGCTTCTCTTGACTTTAGAAACTTATATCTACGCACACTGTCACATGACTATATGTATGTACGTCCGTCACCATGTGTGCTTACGCCCCTCACACCAGTGTACGGACACACAAATACACACACACAAACACTTTATTTCGTATGACCATAGACTTACAGTCAATGGAATAAAGTCAGAGATGGTCAGATTCAAAACGAAACACTTTTTCACTTTCACATTTCTTATTTCGATGGGAATATGCCCAGTGCATATAACTTTTCTGTGATTAATCACTGATCTTGGTAATTTCCAGTCTCCTCATTCATTTTCGAAAGAAACAAAATTTTGTCCTTCAGATCAAAAGCCGATCGAGTGAAACGATGTACTCAATAGATAGATATTGAAATAGAAACAAAATATAGTAGACACTTCGAACTTGGGCGTCAACTCTTCTTTAGTCTCTATAGCAACCCAGTTTCAACGACAATCGTTTTTAATATCTGTACTGTAATTAAATTTGAAAAATCTTTAATCCTCAATGAATATCTGTTCTTGAAACATTGTTTTCTTTACAACTGAATTCAAATAAAAAATATCTGAAACTCAATCAGATGTTAACAAAATAAAAAAAACATGATTTAACTGCTGAAAAATTTAGAGAGCTATACCGTACATATCAACAATGTTATGTTCTTCTTTTACCTCCTGGGTATGAGTTTACATATACATAATGTTTATTTGTACAGATAAAATTTAATATATAGCAAGTAGTACAGTTTAATTTTCTAAGAAAAACCGTTTAGGTGTCGAAAATCTGATCAACTTTTGAGAGTTATTACGCATTTATTAAAACATATATAGAAAAAATAATTTCAAATCATTCATTAACAGCTGTTAGACATTCGAATCAACTTTTTTATGATCAAGAATAGCTGGGAGCTAAAAAAATAACGGTGTCCTTTTTATTAACCTGGTAATGTATGGTGACAACAATGTGCACGTGTACACAACCAGTACAGTAGACTATTAAAAAAAAGAAAAAAAATTAATTATTATACGCAAATTCATATCTATATCATATATTTAATCAGCTTAGAAATATCCAGCTTTTTTACGTAATGTTTGATCATGCGTTTCATAGATTACACCTATATATATTGATCAGAGCACTACACATAATTATTTATCTTTTTGTTGTCCATCTTCGAAACTGTATAATGTACAATGTTGAAAATATCCTTGATATACTTCGCTACTCAATTTGGTAAGATACGATTTCATTAAGAGTGTAAAATGTTAACATTTCAGAGAATATTTATCTATTGCTTTCACGAAATAGGTTCTATGAGCGAGGGCTGCGCGATTACAATTTCAAAATGAAAGTTCAAACATTGCTATTATCTGTAGAATTAAGAATTCTAGAATTCTGAACTTTACATACATGTAAAACTGCATATTCACACTCATACTCACTCTCACCCCCGCATTCACCTCTAGAATTCAGAATTTTAGAATTCTAAACAAGTAAAGTTCATAATTCTAGAATTCTTAATTCTACAGATAATAGCAATGTTTGAACTTTACATTTTGTAATTGTAATCGCGCACGTCTTCTATGAGCCATCACAGAAGCTAAATAAAATACGAATTAAATAGTTATATATAGTTCAATAGCTATGGCAAGAGAACACGTATATTTTACAGTCGACACATTAGTCTGACAGATAATATTGTTAGAAGATGTTTCTTTTAACTTTACACGTTGACTATTTCTAAATAAAAACACTAAAGTTTGATATTTCATGTCACACTCTAAAACAGATTTTGAGAATTATTTTTAGTGTTTCGAACAGTATTCTCTGGTTCATGTCCGATCGTCACCTATAATCCAAATGGTGCTTGTATCAGTCAGGGAACTGTTCGAATGGACAGTGGTTTTCAAGTATCGATGGATGCTATTTGTTCGTTGGCTGTTTCATGTAATGTGAAACTGTATATAACTAATTCCTATCGATCACCAGGGAGTACTGTCAGTGGAACAGTGGTACCACCTGCGCAGTTAAGTAATCACAACGCTGGACATGCTATTGATATGAATGTGGTCTATGATGGTAATATCTGCAATAGTGTATGTTTAAAGGGCAGTTTACCATCGGCTGTAGGCTGTTTTATTAATGGACTTCCAGGAAAAGGATTAAGGTGGGGTGGAAGTTTCACTACACCAGATCCTGTTCATATTGATGATGGAATGAATCTGAAACAACCATCTGCCTATAGTGCATTAGTCGCAGAAATTCAACAGAACTGTGGTAGTATACAAAATCCTCCACCTAAACCGGCACAACCAAATCCAAATCCACCAAAGCCGCCTTCAAACCCAGGGAGTGGGGGCAATGGAGGAGGACAAAATCAACCAACAACAGTCCCTCCTGACTATGATTCGCAATATGATGGTGATCCGGATGATTATCCTGGAACTGATCCACAAGACAATCCAGACGTTCCTGCTGATACTGACTACCCAGGAGATGATGGTGGAAACTGTGCAGATGATGGAAACTGTGGAGGTGATGGAGACGGTGGAGGTGATGGTGACGGTGATGGAGGTGATGGAGATGGTGGAGGTGATGGTGACGGTGGAGGTGATGGTGACGGTGATGGAGGTGATGGAGATGGTGGAGGTGATGGAGACGGTGGAGGTGATGGGACGGATGGAGATGGAGGAGACACGGATAAAACATTAATTACGTAGTCAGTGGTAGATGAAATACACGCATAATAATCACTTTGAGCCGAGTTATACGGTCACCTTGATATATTAGATACGGTTCAGCGTTCAGTCTTCAGAGTTATCCTACTTTCTCTAAAAAATAGAGAAAGGGTTTTCATACTGTACAGCGTAAAGGTTATGACAGAAAAGTACAAATTAAAAGGCTTAAACCAAAAATTAGCATATTCTTTGCTTTTTTTTTACTGTTCGGAAAACCAGTTTACGTTACGGAACGCACCCACGATACTAAAGTTAGTGGTGCATAATGTCATGCGAAAACAGTGTGGATATTTAAAAAAACAGTCGAATGTGTTCGCCTTTTAAAGCATTTGTGGAGGATTTATATAGAAATAAAAGTACCGAACAGAATCTGAGATTGTTTTAAATGCAAACGCGCTTTATTCGCGGTAAACATAGGTGTATGTATGTAGACAGTATGTATTGTTCAATACTCTATGGCATTTATCTGTGTATCAAAAGCACGATCGTCTAACGTAATTTGATTATGCCAAATGCTAATGACTGAATGTCAAATGCTTGGTAGTCGAATCTCTTTGAAATGTGTTGTTCACTCACCAGTAACGACAGAAACATCGCGCCCCGGGCTGAGATAATCATAAAGAGTTTTTGTCTGATTAGAAGAAACAATAGATTTTCGATAAAAAATCGGTGACGTAAAATGAAAACAACACCACGGCGGAGGGGATGGAGATTATGGGGGCGGTGACGGAGATTATGATAGTAGAAAAAAGCGTTCAGTCATTCGTTTGAAACGAAGTATTCGTCAAGCAATGAGAGAAAAGCGACTTGCTTTCGGTAGACAGTTATAAATACTGGAGAGTCAGAAGTTTGTTTGTCTTGATATTTATTATCCTCACATTGTATAACTAAAAGTATGTACTAGATGAATGTATTCAAGCTTTTTTGTATGAAACTATTTCTACATTTTTAATTTAATCAAGGAGATTATTTAGATAAGTTACGTGTTTAAATTTTTAGTTGTATATATATATATTGTATGATAATAATCTACTCATCACTACACAGTATTTATTCAAATAAAAATCCTCACTGAAATTACTTTAAATATAGTAACAATAGTTGATAAGTTACTATACACGGTAGAAAAAATCATTAAATGGGCATAGAATACTATTTATAGGAGAGTTTTTACTAGAATTGTTGAGGTTCTTCTCCTAGATTCGGTCTGTCGACCTTTCGTACGCTGTACTTCTCCAACTACATATTTTCCCATTGCACTAAATTGTGCACAAGGAAACTACGAGTTATGATAATACATTCGTATGAAGACCGTACATTTACATATATATTTAAATAGTCTTTACATGTGATCACTCACATGTTACCAGCTATACTATACATAAATGTCGACCTTATTTTAACGTCAACACAACGTGTGCGACAGGTATTTACTAGCAACGCTAGTGATAAGGTACCAAAGATGATGTTGTATAAAAAACCTACATAGTTGGAGAAGTGCAGTGTATGAAAGGTCGACAGATCGAATCTAGGAGAAGACCTTCAAAAATTCTATTAAATGGGTATATCAGTCAAAGTGACGCATACAAACGTTTGCTTGTTTTGACAGCATTTGAATTTAATAATAATACAGTTTAACGTCAAAACAAAATCGTTGCACATGACAGTTATCTGTAACGTAAGAGAAACGTCATGAGTGAAAAGACAATATAACAATCTTTTTTACTCAGTATGAATTGAGCAACATGCAGAGTTTACAACTATTTGAACATACTTATGACGCAGAGACGTAAAAGATTTACTAGAAATGTAGCTAGGCAGATAATAGAGATTTTTCTTTTACCACGCATACGCTGAACTTCATACTAAAAAGATAGCAACAAAGTAATTATTCTCAACTGCCCGTCCCTAGTGTTGCAGATTTCCTAACTATATTCTCACGTATCATGTCTTCCATACATTGAAAAAATGATACGTGATGATATTTTTAATTTTTTAATATCTCCATCGCTATGTATCGGTCATTTGCTCATACATGTCGTGCTGTTCTTTTTCTTGATGCATATAGCGAAAAGGTCGCATATATGCATATCACAGTTCCAAGTTCATGCACTTGTAGTAAACCCGTATTTAAATAACACCCCGAAGATAACAGACTAGCATAGCCAAATCTTTTCTCAAGCAAGCGCTGTCCTCGCAAACACATAGATGTTCTGTATTCTTAATGAATAACGGGTGTTCCAGAATAAATCGGTCACTTAGTATTTTGCTCATATCTTAGTTGAATTGTATCCCCTAAACTTTGTTGTTTTCTTAAAAGATGTGTTGTAAAATTCTCTACAAAAAATATATTAAACATTTTTCTATATATCGTAAAGAGAAAAGAATATCGAAGAAATACTGCGAAGCTTCAATCTCGATTACTTTGCAACTCAAAAA